GCGCCTTTTCACCTTCTCTCTTCCACTCCACTCACTGTGATCCAATATCTCTTGTTTTTTGGTGCTTTTCTTTGTTTATGGCTTATTGGGTTGTGTTTGTGTTGCATAAAGTTCCTATCTTTATCTTTATTTACTTATTTTCCTGTGACTGGGGATTGGAACTTAGTGGAATAGCGGTTGTGGTTCCTATCTTTGTCTTGATTTTCTTTTGCTTTGTGGATTTGATGGTGGCTATATGGCATGCTTATTGAGGGGTTCTGTAATTTTTCATAAAAAAAGAATTAATTTTGTATGAGGGAGCTTATAGGAGTTTGTTATTATGCTAATAAAGGTGAGTTTATGTTTGAAAGGTGTTTAACTTGTTATTTAATTTTCAAATTAAAACATAGTTTATTTGGGTTTGAATGTTTCTGTATGATGCTAGCTGAACTTGAGCTTTTTGAAAAGCCTCTTCTTCAAGAAGCCTCAACTTTGGTTCTTTTCTATACAGAAGCTTGTTTTTTCCCCTCCTACCTAGACTTAAAGCATATATAAATCTTTAGATGACGTTTGGTTGGAAGGAAGGAATTAGGGGGGAAAAGAATTGTAATTCGGTGAGAAAAGAATAAGGTGGGAATAAAGTTGGAATTCGAATTACATTGTTTGGTAGGGAGGTATAGAATTATTCGGAGGGGGAAGAGAAGAAGTGGTATAAAGACTAAAATGTCCTTGTGTAACAATAATACAAATAATAATCAAGGGTAAAAAAGTCTTTTTCTTCATTTTTCCCTTTCCTTTCCCCCTTGAATTGCAATTCCCTCGAACCAAACACTGTAATTCGGGTGGTCAAAGAATTATGTTGTAATTGAATTGCAATTACATCCAACCAAACACTGTAATTCGGGTGGTTCGGTTTCTACTTTTTGGAGTAATATGCCCCAAAATAAGCTTGCAAAAGCCGAGAAACCAGCACCAAGACTTTAGGCGAGTTGAGTTGAGTAACAATTGCTGAAAGCCTCTTATTCAAGAAGCCTCAACTTTGGTTCTTTTCTATAGAGAAGCTTGTTTTTTCCCCTCCTACCTAGACTTCAAGTATATATAAATCTTTAGTGTTTGGTTCGGTTTCTACTTTTTGGAGTAGATATGCCCCAAAATAAGCTGGTCAAAGCCGAGAAACCAGCGCAAAGACTTTAGCCGAGTTGAGTTGAGTAACAATTGCCACTTGTGGATTCTGTCTTCTATAGGGTCCTTGCAAGTGACTTGGTCGGTTTAATCTGATCCAATGGCATTGGGTTTAATTGAATCACATAACTTGTGTTACATTGAAAGTTAAACTTAATTGCTTTGAGCTACAATTTAGGTGAAATGGACTAGCATAAAAATTTCGGGTATTGTACTTTGTAGATCCTTTCTAGTCCTATTTTAGCGTAACATTGGATAAATGGTGAGATAAGTCCTATCTGATGACTATTAGGCCAACTATGCCTGTTTGGCAGTGAGGTAATATAGCTTGTGTAATGAGACATTTCTCGTCAGGGATGTAGCGTTGCAGAACAATCCGTACTAAAGATTTGCAGCGTGGGTTAATCTGTTTAATTGTGAGTGCACCTAAGCGACTTCCTTCTCGAGAGTTATTAGGTTTCGTGCAAGTATAGATGAGAAGAACTAAGCCGGAAGCATTTCAACTGATTTCACTTAAGAGCAAATACCAATTTTGGTCCCACGAGTATTAGCAAAATGACAGTTTTGGTTCACATGTTAATTCCTACCAATTTTTATCCACCACTATTGTTTTAGTAACAATTTTCATCCACGACTATTATTTTAGTGCCAAAATTCATCGCGCTAATCACCCTCCATTTAATACATGCCGAAATCTAAAAATTTTAAGGTTATTTTAGTCCTTTTCAACTTAAGATTCCAATTTGAGCATGAATAAAAGGATTTAAGCCCTAAGATCGATCTCAATTTGCAGTTCTTCTCCCATCCTACATTAATTTGAGGAGGAGAACTGCGAATTGGGATAGATGTTAGGGCTTAAATCCCTTCATTCATGCTCAAATTGGAATCTTAATTCGAAAAGGATGAAATTACCCTTAATAATTTCATATTTCAGCATGTCTTGAACGAAGGGATGACTAACGTGATAATTTTGGCACTAAAGTCTAAAACAATAGTCTTGTATGAAAATTGGTACTGAAACAATAGACGTGGATGAAAATTGGTATGAATTAAACATATAGACCAAAACTGTCATTTTGCTAATTCTCGTGAGACTAAAATTGGTATTTGCACTTTCACTTAACTAATTCAAACCTCTGGATTCCTCCCAAGATTTAAGTCACTGCTCAGTCATGTATGGCTTTGTCACTGGTTTTCCTCTGCTTCCCCAACATAAATGATTATGCTGAGCTCTAACCATCACGAACGTCTTAATTTCTTCCTCTATTGCAGGTATCGAGCCATAACGAGTGCATACTACCGAGGAGCGGTTGGTGCATTACTTGTATACGATGTGACTAGGCACGTTACATTCGAGAACGTGTCGAGATGGCTGAAGGAGCTGAGGGACCACACCGACCCTAACATCGTAGTAATGCTCATAGGCAACAAGTCCGATCTTCGACATCTTGTGGCGGTTCCAACCGAGGAAGGCAAGAATTTTGCGGAGAGGGAGGCTCTCTACTTCATGGAAACTTCGGCACTGGAAGCAACCAACGTAGAAAACGCGTTCACTGAAGTCCTCACTCAAATCCATCACATCGTGGTCAAGAAGGCAGTCGAAGGTGGCGACGAAGGCGCCACTTCTTCATCTGCTCCGCCCAAAGGAGAGACCATTAACATAAAAAACGACGGGTCTACTTGGAAAAGAATCGGGTGCTGTTCAAGCTAGGGTTCAAGATTCAAGACATCAAGACTGAACTTTTATTGTACATCACCATTAAATCAAGATTTTCAACCTTTTTCTCTCTTCTTTCATTATCATCACTTAGGTTTCTGTTTTGGGAATTTCTGGATATGCAAGGCTGAGAACTTGCAAAGCAGTTCTCTCTTGGAAACTGAACTTCAATATATGTGAGCCCATATGAACAGGGAAGTTGAAGTCCGACAGACAAGTTTAGTTGTGTGTCCCATTGTCTGTTTCAGAAACTAAGGCAATTCAGAGATGTTTTCCATTACTTTTGTTAAGATTGTAAATCATTGGTAACAGCACCGACAATGATTTGGTTGAGGCAGATAGGTACTAAGCAGGTGGGAGTTATTATTATGTGGAACCTATGGATTCTTTCTTGGATGGGATAGGTCCTTTCTCGTCACGCATGGACTTGCCCCTCTTTAAAGTAGTCCTTTTCTACCCCTTTGGATTGAGTTTGTTGGATAGAACTTTCTTAGTATAATTTACTGTCTTTTTGGTATAGTTAAAGTGTTACTTCGTATTACATAAGAGTAGAGTTTAATTCTTGGATACTCTTGTTTTTGTTGTAGCCGTCGCCTATTGGTAAAATAAAAAATGAAAATAAAAATAATAAACAAAAAAAGGAAAAACATCTACCAAAAACAAGTACTCAATATTAGTTAAGGGTATTTTTGTTTAAAAATAATTTTTAAGGGAAAAGGGTCAAATATATAGATCCTTGAACATTATACGAAAGTGCAATTAGGCCCTCAATTTTAAAAAAGTTTAATTAAACACAAATTTATCATTTTGGTGCATCCAGGTTCAATAACCAATCACCAACCTATAATATCTGGTAATTAAATTTCAGATGATTAAAACAATTGTTAGCGATTAGTAACGACCGCTGACGATCGGTAACAGTGGCCTTCTTCCTTAATCAAAAAAGGCAACCAGCGTCGCTTTCTTCAACTGAGTTAGAAAGCGACCAAGCGTTACCTCATTTTCCAGGAAGAAGCTAAGGCGACTAGTCGCCTTCTTCAACTAAGGATGTCGCCTTCTTGGAGAAAGAGGTGACCAACTCGACCGTTTTTGATTGTCGGTGGTTTTTTTTTTTTTTTTTTTTTTTTTTTTTTTTCAGATTACCATCTAGGATGGCGATCAACAACCTGTGATGGCGGTTAAAGATGGAATAGTTACCGATAATCTGTTGATTACCGACTAAGTAGACTTATTTGATTGATTTTATGAAGTTGAAGTACTTAATTGCACCTTTTTAAAGTTGAAGAACTTAATAACACTTTTGTATAAAGTTGCAGAATGTATTTGACCCTTTTCTCAATTTTTAAATAAGTATTAGGTTTCGTTAGTTGTGCTTTATAATTGTACAATATACTTATTGTGTTATATTTTCTTAATTTTAGTTATCATTTTGAAATGTTGTTTATTATGAGATTCTTTGATTTTTTTATATTAGTCTCTCATTATCCAATTATACAATATGTATGTATATATTGTTGAGTTTTGACTCAAGATTTTAGTGACAAATACACTCTAATGATAAGGATAAAAATGGGAGAAGGAAACATTCCTACATCAAGAGAAAGTCTATATGCTATTGGTAAATTTATCAAGATGCCTTGATCCTCCAATAACTACCACTTTCAGAGCCTTCTAAGAGCATGCTTATACTCAATGATGGACTTTGACTCCTTTATCATGCCAATTAGGGCTTTTTAATTTGTTAGATTACGATGACACCCTCATACTCTATCTTTTCTGTGCACTGTCATTATGTATTATGTATTGGAGCTTACTTTCAACTCATGTTACATCATCTTCATTATATCATACGTTTCTACAATCAAATTTGTCTTATAAACCCGTGCAAACCTTAGTTATATAGGATTGTGGATGGCCTTGGAAGCTAAGTGATGTTTTAGCCTCTTTTCCGTTTAAGATCCTCAAGTGCCCATAAGGAATATAGGCAGCGCCCCTTTAACAAAATTTAATTTTTACTTTCATAATTATTGTGATATTGACCTATTCTATCATCACTTTCTAATTTGTAAAAGTTTAATTCCCCACAACTTTGTTGAAAATGACACTTCGCACATAGCATTGATTAGTTTTCAAAGAAAAGCATTGCAAGTATTATTTTTTTCTTTTTTTCCATTTTTTTTTTCAAATATTACAAAATCTTTACAAAAATAAAAATAAAATAAAATAAAATAAAAAAGAGAAAAATGTCCACTAAGAGTTAAAATCTCTCCGCATAATGTGGCGCAACAGGGGGGCCACGTGGCAGAATTTTATTCTTCGCCGTGGAAATCTGACTCCCTAAACAATGTCCCATGTTACTGTTCCCCAATCTTATCCGGTGCCGGCAAAGCACGGCGTTTCCACTCTACACCGCCGGAACACCACCGAACACTCCGGCAGCTCGCCCAGATCGCCGAACAACGACTGGTCCTCTTCCCTAATAGGCAACGTGAGCGCCACGTCGGTGTCGTGACAAACCGTGGGCCCCGCCGCAAACGCCGCGCTCTCCATAAAACAGCAGGACCCCACGTCGGAGAACCACCCCATCTCGCCGGCGGCGAGCTCCGGGAAGCTGTTGTTCTCCGGGTCCGGGTCGGCGAAGATGGCCAGCTCCGGCTTGGGCGAGCCGGGGTGATCCGCGGCGGAATCAGTAGGCGTCGTGGCGGCGGAAGTGGTGGTGGTAGCGGCGGCGGCGGCGGCGTAATGGTGGTGGGTTTTGGTGGGGAGAGGGTGGTTGTGGTCAGAGGAGTAGGTGATGAGGAGCATGGTGGGGTCCAGGCGGCTACGTTCAACTTGTTTCCTAGCTGGACATCCTTTTGAGCTGCTACATCGATAATATCCCCTGCATGCAACACATGCATTCACTATTATTTCTTTTATTTTAATTAAATTATTTAATCACTTTTTATACCAAAAAACAAATAATTATCTAATAAAAAAGTAACATAAAAAGATGTACTATTAAATAAATGTTTTTTTAATGATTTTATCTGATAAATTTGTGACAAAATCAATCTGCCTATAATTTTCGATCAGATGCTCTGTCGGGCCGAAGCATAAAGAATCTTTGGAGTTCAGGATTTTATATATAGAAATGATATAAATAGAAGTCAATTTTATTTTGATTTTCAAATAATTTATCTTTCTTGGGATATTAATTAAGAGACAAATGTTGGTCCCATGATGTTTGGAATGGTCTTGTTTTGAGCAGCCATCACACTAGTAGGAGTCATTTTAGAGACTTGACAACCACAAGCTTCATAATAATTAGTTTTTTCCATTCTAAACACTCCAAATGTCACTTTACTTTCACAAAGTTGTGGCACATTTTTTTCCCTATAATATAATTTAGGTATCTAATAATCACGTTAGACTTGAATAACTTAAAAGTTAAGTTACTGTTTTCGATATAAATTATTGTATTTATAAAGTTTGAATTTGATGGAAAACTAGACTCCTTTAATTTAAAACAAAAATAGTTGGCACTATGTGACACGGTAAAAGATATAGTGATCTGCACACAAATCGATATCATAACAAAAAAAAAAAAAAGACTTTAATAATCAGTTCACATAGACAACTCGAGATCATAACAAATAATGACTTTGGTAATTATTTCACTCGTTTTCTTACTATTTCAAAGATATTCAACACTTTTTTTCTAATTTAAACTTAAAATATCCAAAAATAAAAAATAATATGTTGTCGCACTTAATCCTTAAATAAACATGCTATAATGGAATTGTGATTGTGATAACCACTATGTTATAATATCAAATTATCATTCAAATATATAATGGCTAGCATTCTCCTCCATCTCTAAGATAGCCTCTATTTCTCCTTTGATGAAATAGCGTCCATTCACCTAACTATATATGAACTACCCGTATAAGCTTTAATTTTCTTCTTGTCGAATATAGGCTGTTAGGGTTTTTTATTTCGACCATTAAAATTGTGAATCTTTTATTTTCTTTTGGACCAAGGTATGGCCATGTGTATTTGAAGTATTTGAGATAATAATATAATTTACTATTACCAAAAAAAAAAAAAAAAAGATAGCCCAAGTTTTGGTATCAACAAAGTCTCACAAATTTGGTCCCAATTGAAAAAAAAAGGGACAAAAATGTAGATACAATTATGAAATTTAATTGTCTATCCAATCTTGTGAACAAGCATGCCCTCATGTCACTCCAAAAGGATATCAAAGAACAAGATTTAGCCACTAATTAATAAGACACAAAATGACAATTATCTGACTCAAAAATTTCTACCATATTACATCTTATGACATCATATTATAGTTCAAAAGTGACATAAAAATAAAATAATGCTACACTACTATATTGATTTATATATAACGTATACCATACGCCATTATAGATTTTTTTTTTTTAATAATAAAACGACAAAAGATTTTAATATCACTTTCAGTCCCTCAATTTTTAATATTTACACTTTTAGTCATCAATTATCTATTTAACCACTTATACTCCCTCAACCTTTTATAAATCAACTATATTTAGTCTGAAATTCATGCCTTCATACAAAGAAGGGTGGAGTTTGGTGAAAGTGAGAGCATTTTAGATACTTTAACTCGAATTTGGTTAGTTTGTGTAAGGATCGATTCGAGAGAATAAAAACAGCTAAAGTAATAGTTGAAAATTAAAATTAGCTAGAAATACTGCAAAACACGGTGATATATTATATTATCCCAAATATAAAACTAAGGAGCGTGATTAACAATCTATTGTTGAGCGTGTGGAGTGATGAAAATGAATTCCAACTACCACACCCAATCAATGCACTTTGTCTTAGTCTCCATCCTCCACTAGATAAGAATCAGTCCCATTCTAATTAATTTACTAGCCCGGCGGCAACTACAAGAACATTATTAAACAACATTTTTGTCCAACCTAATTGTTTTTCATTAATTATTCCTATTCAATCCTCCTAATCCTATGGATTAACTACCCCTACTCCCCAACTCCTCCAACAACCCATAAGGATTAGGGTTTAACCAATTACCCAATGCAACCACTTCCCCTTTCTAAATTTGTGCAATTGAATCATTATACTGACAAACAATTCATAAAAACGAGAATTATTTTAATTAAGACAGTATATCGTATCATAAAAGATGAAGGAAGTAATGGTTGTTTTGCTGGACCGAACATATTGCCTGAGATGTTGGGTTTCTTGAGATGTTTTTCTTTTTAAATTTTGTCGTGTCAAGTAAAATTGATGACTAGTGGGACGATAAATTTCAGTATTTCATGTAGGGAAATTAAATTAAAGATGAAGTTGTTGGTCGGAATTAAATTACCTGGGATAAGGGGAGCCTTTAATGGGTTTTTGGCCGTACTTCCGCCACGACCAAGAATCCGGCGGAGGATAAACCTCCGATTTACTCCGTGATCCGTCGCCGTCGCCGGCCGGCATGGAAACCACCCTCTTCTGTGCGCCTCTCCTGTTACATAGACGACACAATTAATTAAGTTGATCAAAAAAAACCAAACATTTTTCTCATGTTAAATCAATCCCATAAACGTAGGAATGTTGTCGGAAAGAATTGAAGCTAAGCAAATTAAAAAACCTTTTCCTAGGAGACGGGGTGCTAACTTCCGCCGCTTCATCGCCGGACAACGGCGACTCAACACCATTCTCCGGCGGCGGCGTCCCGGCCGAGAGCTCTTCTTGCTTCTGGTGAAGCCTGGTCTCCATCATGATATAAAAACCCTACTGAAATATGAGCCAACTCACTCGCAAATTGTAACCCCGGGCCCTTATCTATCCTTTCATGGCGATAGAAGACGTAAAAGGGTGCCGGATCTAGCTTGCTGTATATGCTGCCGGAAAAAGTGGCGGAGAGGGTCGCCGGAGTGAGTTGCTGTGGGGTGGGGGAGTGGGGGGAGGTGGTGGAGTTTTGATGGCTTTTAGGTTTTAATATTGGAGTTGGACATGTTGACAGACTGGCAAAAATGCGTAGTTTATTATGGACGTGCGAGCAATTCACACAATAATGTCACATAATTTCTTTGGCACATTTATTATTATTATTATTATTATTTGATACTAACTCTGTTAGAATATAGTATCTGTTCAATTTACTGACAAAGAGTCAATGCTCCACTGAAGTTTGAACATCTGACCCTCATTTAAAAAAGTTACAGTCATGACGCTCAATCACAAGGTTTTTGACACTTTTATTTATTTTTGAGTCATAGACAGAAATTCATAGTAACTATTTAAGAATATAAATTGCGTAAAGTCTACATGCTCAAATTAAGAAGATCAATATACTGCTCTCGTTAAAAGTTGAATTCGTTAATCTTATAATTATCAAGTCAATCGTTTGACAAATTTGATTGGAATGTCATAAAAAAAAGATATTTTTTTAGTGGAGCCCAAAACTTTAAATAGAGCTGATCCCTGGAAATAAATATATTTATTAATATTTCACAAGTTGGGTAGTGATATTTGGTTACGTCATGAATCATTAATAAAAAAGAAAAAGAAAATAAAAAAAGTTATCTGCAGAACTTGGAATTGGTAAAACCCAATTGGTACGCCGTCGTATTGGATTCTTTATAATGTGTCCATGACTATGAGAGGTTTGGTTGGATTGGATTGGAACGTTTTGTTATTACTTGTAGCCTTGCAATTGTAGGACGGCTGTGAAGTTTATCAATGTAACTTTATGTAATTAATTTATGATGTGTTAGTTTACACTCATATATTGAGACTATTATGTAATGTAATTATTATTATATCAAAAGTTATATAATGATGTGCCTCGTAGCAGGTGGATATGAGTAAAACATATATATGATCGTGTCGAGTGGAGGTTTCTTAGAGCAGTTATGCTTAAAGTGGGTTTTGATTTGAGATGGGTTAATATCTTGATGGAGACTGTAAGCTCGGTGAATTACCATGTACTATACGAGCAACGTAAGTTAGGGCCTATTTGCCCCAGTAGGGGTCTGCGGCAGAGTGATCCACTATCACCATACCTGTTTTTATTAGTGGCAGAAGGGTTAAGTGCACTAATTGAGCATAAGATGAGACGAGGAGACATGCATGGTATCACCGTTGCACGAGGGGCACCGCCGATATCCCACCTTCTATTCGCGGACGACTATTTCCTTTTTTTTTTTTTTTTGCGTGCAAATAAGGAGGAGAGTGAGCAGATGAAAGGTGTTCTGGATATGTATGCTACTGCTTCGGGGCAAAGAATCAATTTTGATAAGTCTTTGGTGTGTTTCAGTGCAAATGTGCCACAACAAACCCGTAATGAAGTTGTTCATATCCTTGGGGTGAGTCAAGGGGAAACACATGGGAAATACCTGGGACTCCCCCCGCTAGTGGGTCGGAATAAGAAAGCCGTGATTGGTTTTCTCAAGGACAAGATACTGAGCCATGTTAGAAGCTGGAATTCGAAATTCTTATCTCGAGCAGGCCGTGAGGTTTTGTTAAAGAATGTGCTACAAGCTCTCCCATGTTATGCTATGATGGTTTTCTTACTGCCAGTTGGTGTTTGCAAGGAAATTGAGACTGCCCTCAACGAGTATTAGTGGACGGGTAAAATAGGGAGTGGGAAGGGGATGCGATGGCGGGCGTGGAATGGCCTGTGTGCTCCAAAGAGTAGAGGAGGGCTGGGTTTTCGTCGGTTGAGGGAGATGAATATGGCTTTGTTGGGGAAGCAAGCATGGCGGCTACTCTCGAGGCCAAATTCGCTGCTAGCTCGGGTCTATAAAAGTAGGTATTCCCCCAGTGCTCCTTTCTAGAAGCTACTTCTTGTAGTAATGCATCTTTTGTTTGGCAAGGTTTGTTGGAGGTGCAAAGTGTGGTGAAAGAGGGTTTGAGGCGATGCATTGGCGATGGGCTCAGTACGGCTATAGGCTACGATCTGTGGCTGCCAGTTGATGAGGGCCCTTATATATCTACCATCTTACCGGACAATATTAAAGAGTCACCTGTCTCATCTCTTTTTAATACTCAGCAAATTGGTTGGGATGATGGATGTGTTCGGGACATTTTTAATGATCGTGATGCAAGGTACATTCTTAATATTCCTATAAGCATGCGAAAGCCCCCAGATTCTTGGTCTTGGCACTGGGATTCAAAGGGTAATTATACAGTGAAATCTTGTTACAGAAGGCTGGCCGGAGAAGTTCATGATGACCGACCTTGGTGTAGGATTTGGAGCCTACAAGTACCCCCGAAGGTGAAGTTGTTTAGCTGGCAGTTAGCGTCTTCTTTTCTGCCTACGTGTGATGCGCTAAATAGACGAAGAGTTCATTGCAGTTTTACATGCCATATGTGCGCCCAGGAGGAAGAGTCTGCCTACCATCTGTTTGTGTCGTGTGGGGAGGCAGTGCGAGTATGAGATGGGTTTTGTTTGCCGGCAAGCAGTTTACAACAAGGTAATGTGGTTGACTGGTTCTTTCATTACCTTACTGTTTTGGATGAGTCTAAGCATAGCTATTTTGTCATGCTTTGTTGGGGATTGTGGTTGAGTAGGAATGAGAAAGTGTGGAGCAATATCCCGTTTGCGCGAGTTAACATGGTCCAAAGAGTTACCTCATTATTGCATTCATGGCGCTGCGCGAATGAGCTGGATGAGGAGCCCGCCGGCATGGGAACGGTTGGGGAATTTTGGAGAAGGCCACGGCCAGGAAGGTTGAAGTTGAATACCGATGCTGCTTTTAATGATACGAGTAATTCCATGGGGCTCGGTTGGGTTTTACGTGACGATAGAGGGTCTTTCTAGGGGCGAAAGCGGTCCGACTCGTGGGGAAATACACGGTGAGGCCAGGGAAGCTGAAGCCATTTGTATCTGTGAAGCTCTAACATGGATGAAGGGAACAGGTCTGGGAGATGTAGATGTTGAGACTGATTCGCAGTTAGTTTTTTATGCATTAAATTCAGACTCTTATATTTCTACGTTTGGTTTGGTTATTAATGATGTAAAGGAATTAGCATCCAATATACATGGTGTTAATTTCTCATGTGTTAAGCAATATGCGAATCGTGCTGCCCACACAATTGCGAGGGAGGTCGTTTCTGTGTCAGGTTGCGGGGAATGGTTTGACATACCACCCCTTTGTCTTGTTGATTCTCTTTCTTCTGATTTAACGAATTAAGCCTTTTATCTCAAAAAAAAAAAAGTTATATAGATCAATAGAAGTAAATGTGTAATCCAACACCTACCATATTTAATTCTACAGTATGCTTTAGCATAATTCACTGATCCTAGTTGTTAGAATCAAACGTTTATTATTATATAAAAAGTTATAGCTAGCAATGAAAATATAACTACATTTTCTTATAATTTCATAGCATGCAATTAGAAATGTTTTTATAATAGGATATATAGAACTTGAGTTACTTGGCCTCCGCCCAATAAGTAAGATCAAACAAATGTGCAACTGTAAAAATGAGTAAGTGCGTGTAACTATATTATCTTTCACAAGTAGTGTCTAAGACGAGCTTGTTGTCGAGTGCTACCAACTACTTTAAGTTATGATGTTAAAAGTTTGATCCGCAAACTCTTCTAATATAATACTCTTTTAATATTATATTATTCATGGATCAATTCAACTATTTTTCTTAGCTTTGATTAATTTCTTTAACATTTTTCTTATAAATTTTAAATTTTTAATAATACTTTTGATATAGTATCTAAATGCATAAATTTTATGCACAAACATTAAATTAAATATCCTTAATTTTTCTTATGACTCTCTCAACTCTCATCTTAAATAGTAAAAATAGGTCCAATATTAATATCATTTGCCATACCTAGTAACTTAATGTATGATAAAGTCTTAGGAATTGAATTATAGGAGCTAGTGTGGGCCATCATTATTTAATTTTAACATTATATATCAATATATGAGAGAGAAAGAGAGAGAGAGAGCTGAACAAGAAAAATATGAGAAATGATGTAGGATGAGGATATGAATAGAAAAATACATATATGAGCCAAAAATAAATGTTTGAGGGGATTGAGTATGCTTTTTTGAGTGAGTCGTCGAGTATAATTTTTGTACTAGAAAGTTACGAGTTAAATTGTTATCAAACACCCTGTCGTGTTTCTATTTGGTTTGCAAGTTATTATACAAGAGTACGATTTATTAAATATATACTCTTAGCTCAGATAGTGATTACAGATTTCTCTAATCACAAAAAAATGATAAAAATTATGGAGAGCATTGATGTTTCATATTTGTGTCTATCACATATTCACATACACCAATTGAAATAGACATTAAATGTATATATGCCAATTAAAAAAAATGCAAATAATTCCTTTTAAACGATAGTTTTCTTATTCATCATTACTTCATACCATGCATTTATTTATTATTTGAAAATGAAGTGCCGTGTCGTAATGCACAATAGCATAAAAACTATAGGAAATCCAATGAAAATGCTAGTGAAAATATTCCTGCCAAAAAGAAAATAATTTCCTCATGAATCAAATACTCACAACCAAATATAACTAATAATATAACTCCACAATAATAGATATTCCCAACTAAAAATACATAATACCTGCAAACCAGTAAATATATAAGACAGATATTGAACTATATTAACTATTTAACCAAGTCAAACAGCTAATAGTGATCAAATAAGTTAAAATTAACTAATAAATTAACTATGTTTTAATGGATTGAGTTGTTTTGGCCAACACTAAAGTTTTGTAATTATTAATTAATCAAATAATGAACTGTCAATAAATGAAATAATTATTCGACATTTGGGCCAACATGGGTCGTCAGAAAGACCGATTCTTGCTCCGCATCCTCCTCCAATGGGATTATTAATATTATTAGTTAATTAATTAATTACACATCATATCATCGGCATGCCTAATCAATAAGTATTATAAAATAATAACCAATGAGATGTTGGAATCTCATTTTGACCTTGTTTGGTAAATGACTGTTAATTGATAGCTGTTAACTGTTAACTAATTGTGTTAATTAGAGGGTATAACTAGTTGATAAT